ATATATATATATATATATATATATATATATATATATATATATACATATATATATAAAGAAGAAGAATGTTAATAACAATGATAATAATAGTAATAATGATAATATTGATAATAGTATATAATAATTATGATAATATTAATAATCTATCTATCTATCTATATATTTGTTTTTATCTATCTACCTATCTGTTTGTCTATATGTTTATCTATCTATCAATTTATATATCTACATGATCCATTTTTCTTTCTTTCTGTGTGTCTGTCTTTCTATCTATGTATTTATAGTTTCAGTATATCTATTTGGCTCCTTTTTATATAAATTGCTTATTGTTTTGTGTAAACCTTTGAGACACCTACAAAAAATCTGAAAAAATGCCTTCACAAGCTTCTGAATAATGTTGTGCAGTTGATTATGCCCAAGAATAGCGGTTTTACTCATATGGTCTTTTAACGTCGAGTGCTGTGGTAATTAATATAGATTATTGTCTTTCTTTCTCTCTACTTCAGTCTATCCATCTCTATCCATATTGCAATTGCAAGTGTAGTTCTCCATTTTCTCCTTTTTCGCCGTTTTATTTCTCACTCTACTCATAGAGCAAAATCGCAACGAGCGTGATTCATAACTAACCTTCGGCGTGATACAGGTGAAGAAGTTATACTTTTTCACGAAGAAGAGCGCGTTCATGAAAAGACGTCGAACTTGGATTGGCAAGATTTCCCTGAGAGCTGAACATTGTTCTTCAAGATGTTCTCGTCTGTCTTTGAACCTTTGTGCCACTAGTGTCTCGAAATTAACTGCAGTGGAAGAAGCGTTCATGTTGTTATGAAGCAGTTGTTCACCCACTTCGCTGATTTTGTGGATTTCGAAGCTGGGAGACAGTCGGCCGGAGGAGACGTTTTCATCCTGACGGAGACTCGGTTGTAAAGTTGTGGGTTCTGGCACGGTAAGCACGAGGGCGCTGGTCAAGGAGACCGGGCCGGGACGGAGGTACTTCGAATGCAGAATCATAAGCATGGCTGATAAAATTAGTACGAGGAGGAGAGAGCAGCGGAAACTGGAGAAAGTTCTTGTGAATTTTACCATGGCTCTCTCTATCTATATCTATCTATCTATCTATTTATCTATCTATCTATCTATCTATCTATCTTTCTATCTATCTCCTCTCTCCCTCTCTCTCTCTGTCTCTCTCTCTCTCTCTCTCTCTCTCTCTCTCTCTCTCTCTCTCTCTCTCTCTCTCTCGCTCTCGCTCTCTCTCTCTCTCTCTCTCTCTCTCTCTCTCGCTCGCTCTCTCTCTCTCTCTCTCTCTCTCTCTCTCTCTCTCTCTCTCGCTCGCTCTCTCTCTCGCTCGCTCGCTCGCTCTCTCTCTCTCTCTCTCTCTCTCTCTCTCTCTCTCTCTCTCTCTCTCTCTCTCTCTCTCTCTTTGCGTCTCTCTCTCTCCCTCTATCGCTTTTTAACCGCTGGCACCACGAGTCCTGAACGTGCACTAAGCTCTGTATATGAAATATGAACTAATTATAAATGCTAATGGAAACACCTGCAAACTTTGATCTCTTTGATGGATCGCCGTAATTTTATAGATTTTCACCACTTGTATTGCTGCCATCAATTGCAACACGTCTCTCTCTCTCTCTCTTCTCTCTCTCTCTCTCTCTCTCTCTCTCTCTCTCTCTCTCTCTCTCTCTCTCTCTCTCTCTCTCTCTCTCTCTCTCTCTCTCTCTCTTTCTCTGTGCGCACGTGTGTCCGTGTGTGTGTGTGTGTTTTGTGTGTCTTCTCTCTACCTATCTAACTACTTATCTATTTATCGATTTATCAATCAGTCTCTCCCCGGGGTATGTAAATGGAATAAACTGATAGTGTCATCATTATCATTATTATTATTATCATTATTATTAGCATTCTTATTATTATCATCATTATTGTTGTCATCATTACTATTATTATTTTTATTATTATTATTATTATTATTATTATTATTATTATTATTATCATTATTATTATTATTATTATTATCATTATCATTAATACTCTTATAGCTATTACTGCTATTATTATCATTGTTGTTGCTGTTTTGTTGTTGTCGTTGTTGTTGTTATCATCATTAATCATTATTATCAGTATTATCATTATCATTATTATCATTGTTCTTGTTGTTGCTGTTGTTGTTATTATTATTATTATCGCTATTAATCATTATCATTACTATTATTGTTATTATCATTAATTGCTATTGATATTATTCCTATTATTATCATTATCAATATTATTGTTATTATTACTTTTATTATTATTATTATTATTATTATTATTATTATTATTATTATTATTATCATTATCATTATTATCATTATGATCTTTATTATTATTGTTATTATTACTATTTTGTTATTATTATTATTAAGGTTATTATACTTATCCTTACTGTTATGATCATTATCATTACTATCATTATTGTTATTGTTATTATCATTATTATTATTATTATTATTATTATTATTATTAT